TTAGTGCTAATAATATAATTCATTTTGAAAAACACTAGTCTATCTAAATGTCAAAAAAAAAAAAGAAAAGAAAAGAGAAGAGCTTGTTACCAAATCCTATCAATTAGATACTAGGGTAAAATTTAGAAAAAGATCAATCAAAGATATAAAGTCCCTTGAAAGTAATGCTTTTAGCTATCTCTTCCAACCACATCACAAGCATACAAAGTTTACATGTTGACTATCTTCCAAAACAAATGAGGATAAGAAGTACAATTTTATCATAATATTATAGTGGATTAGTTGGATCTATCACGTACAAAGTGATCACAAGGTGATGCTACCCTTGATACAAAAATGATCTAGCTTTCATTTTTTCAGCCACATTACTGTCCAAAAAACTAAGTCCATCTAATTGGTTTTGAAGGAAAATTAACAAGAAATGAACGATGTGCTCCTCAAACGCTAACCCTAGTAAGGGAGATATTTTTCTTAGTTTGCTTTTCCTAACGATCCTATATTGATATCTCTTCTAGAAAATTGAGAATTTCTTCAAGTGTCAAATGAAGTTTTCATTGTTAAAAGCTGCATAACCTCTCTATATTCAACTCTTGTTTTGCTTATAAGAATAAGGTTTTCATGCATGTTAAAAAAAAAAAGAAAAAATTGGATCTCATGGAATAGGCCTTCTTGAAAGGATAAGAACTTCCGTGACTAGGAATTTTCAAGAATCGGTGAGACCCTGTATATGAAATTATTAGAGAAATAACTGGGTTTCCTCATTAGTGAGAACAACAAAGATAATATCTGAAATTCAAGAGGCAAAAAATTGGAGTTAATTTTCAATCATCAAAGATTCACTTTGCAGTGCTCAAAACAAAAATTGGGGTAAAATGTGATTGCATTCAAGTTTTAGTGTAATCTTGAGATCTAGAGCCAAATCAGACACTATGGCAATCCTACTTGGATTATTTGTTTGAATCAATTAATACTAGCAGCATGTGGTGGTTTGAAGTCAATCAAATTTAGTAGCATATGGTGCACAATCACAAGTCAAAAATTGGGGCAAAATTTTGATGACCTTGGGGAACTTGTTTAAAATCAATTGATTCTACTTTGTATATGCATATATCTCCCTATATTTTGTGATCTCACATGATAACTCAACTTTTAAACGCAAGTCTTAAACTTGAAGCAAGTGACATATTACAGGGCAAGTGGGAATCTCGAAGTGATTCTTCATAAAAGGATAATTGAACTTTGAAACTTGAAGTTTAAAGTTCAAATCAACCAACATATCATCAAACAAGTAGGTTCCTCAAGTCATTGTTGACTAGAGGTAATTCCATGTTAATTTGAATTGCATTTCATATAATCCATTTAACCTCTTCTTGAAGAAAAAAAGAGAGACCCTAAGTTTTTTTGAAAAAAGAGTGTTAGAATGTTCTCATCACATATAATTCAATTACGTTGTTTTTTGATATTATTTCCTTGACATTCACGTTTTAGATTTCAATCCCTAATTTTTCAATTTTCAAATTTCAAATCCCTATTATTTCAAAGGTTAGTCACTTTCATAGCAAGTGCTGCATCCTTAGCAAGCCCATTAATTTCAAAGTCAGTTTTAAATTTCAAATCTTTGTCAATTCAAATTCAATCTCTGATTGTTTCAAAAAGTTAATCATTTGCATAGCAAGCGCCATTTCCTTAGCAAGCACATCAGTTTCAAAGTTAGTTTCAAAATCTCTGTCAATTTCAAGTCAAATCTCTAATTGTTTCAAAAGTTAATCACTTTCATAGTGAGTGCCCCTTCCTTAGCAAGTGCATCAATTTCAAAGTCAATTTCAAATTTCAAATCTGTCAATTTCAAATTCAATCTTTGATTATTTCAAAAGTTAGTCATTTCCGTAGGAAGTGTCACTTTCTTAATAAGCGTATTTGGTTAAGATCAACCCCTGGTGATCATGTGTGCCTTCTCAGTTATTTTTGTAAAGAATGTCTCTTCCGCATCAAGTGTATTTGGCTAAAATCAACACCGGGTGATCATATATGCCATGTTAGCCACTCTCATAGAGAGTGCCACTTCTATAATAAGCATAAAATAATTTTGCCAGTAAAAGTATTTTATAACATTTCTAATTCATGAAATTTCATTTACTAGCACTTCCATCGAAAAAATACTACTTGTCTCATCTATTTTAGCATCACGCCATTCTTGCATTCTTTTTTCACAATAAAAAATCCAAAAAATCAAACGAAAAATAAAATATAAGTAAAAAAATATATAAAAAAACTCAGGGTCTACTTTAATATTCAATTATATCTGTTTGAGTGAACCACCTCTTGACTTGAGTCCTTTACACAAATACATAGGCAGCTATTTAAGGAGTTTGGTTACATCTGATTCCTATTTAAGGAGTTTGGTCACATCTTTCAATTTTACCGTCTATTCGTAGCATGACTTTCTATCAGTAGCACTAACATTTTTATTTGCATTTTTGCATGGTGTAAGGCCAAAATTCGATATTGTCTATTTTTTTTGTTTGGAACCTCGTGCAGATGCAAAATTTTGACCCTACCTAAAAATTTGATTTGCCAAGATCTTTACTTCACATTTTTTAAGTCATATGTATAGTACTTATTTTTAGAATTTAAATATAAATTTTTTAATTTAATTCACTTTTTTTTATTTAATTTTTTTGGCATTTTAAAGGTAATACAAGTATGCTTGTTTCACTCTTATGCAGTTCTTGAGCCTCAAATAAACTTGTTTCAACTTGAGAGAGTTTGTTAGGCTCAATCCCAACTCCTAAAATCTCAAACCCAAGTTTTAAGAAAATTAAAATCCAAAACACACAACCTCAAAACCCAAAGAAAGTGAAAAAAAAAAAACGAAGAGTCAAAATTCCCAAACTCACTTAATGCAAGATATCTTATTCTTCTTATACTTAGCACTACTTGTACTATTTCACTATGCTTTTCTTTCTTCCAAGTATTTCTCACATAATTCACACACTAACCTCATTTTCACTCTCTACTCTATTCACTTTCTCTCCACTAAAAGAACACACTTCATTCTCTTCACCTTTCTTTTTCTCGGGTCCTCTCTCTCTCTCTCTCTCTCTCTCTCTCTCTCTCTGTGCATATACCACATACCAGCCATCAAGAACACATACTTCACTCAGACACAATTCACTCAATCCCTTTTTCCCTTAGCATTCTTTGTGCTTCCTCACACACTAACACACATATAATTAAAATCCTTTCTCTCTCAGACTCTCTCTCAAATTTTACACACACACACTTCATAATTGCACATGCTTCATAGAAACACACATATAGCCCATGCACACACATATTTTTGAACAGGAAGAATAGGCTAAGTAGGCAATAGAAGAAGCAGAGGAGCTTCGTGTGATTGTCAAGATTTTGCTCCAAAATTTTCTAGCCAAAGACCTATCTAAAGCCACTGTAAAATCCCACATCCTTTCCTTTATACTTTTCTTTTTTACATGTTTAAAGCTTTATGACCTTTTTCATTTAGCAATGGAAGTTTGATGTTTTATTGAATTTTTTTGTCTTCTACATTTAATAATATATTAATCTAGGTGCTAGTAGGCTTACGGTAATTTTTCTAGTTTGAGATTTGTAAGTTTCCTGCATAAAAAAATAAAAATTAAATTCTTAAGTAGGGTTCTGTTCTTGCTTTAATTCGTTATATTTGCTATTATTTCTTGCTAAATTAGAATCATGGTTGCAGTGCAAATTCTGTGAGAGTTATCTTGATAGAGGTTTTACGACAATTAGAATTAGTTTGAAAGGGTTACCAAAAAAACTATTGTAAATTGATCATTTGACATGCTTTCGATCAGATTTTGTGAAAATTGACATTGAAAATGAAATCTATGTGAAAAATGAAATAAAAAGTGTGGTTTTGATAACATTTAGTCATCAATCACTAGAACTGTTAAACGAGCCGAGTCGAGCTCGAGCACACGACAATCGAGTTCGACACAAACATCTAATCGAGCTAGCTCGAGCTCGCTCGATTAGTAATTTGAGTTTCGCAAGCTGTTCGAGATTGACTCGATGTACTTGGTAGAAAACTCGAGCTCGAGCTCAAGCTCGAACTCGAGTTCACAAAGCGAGCCAAGCTTATTGAGCTCGAACTCGATTTTGAACTCGAGCCGAGCTTATCGAGCTCGAAACTCGAGCTCGAGCTCTTTTACGGAAGATTGCATATCAGCTTCTTGTACACTCATATTCAGTTTGACAAAAAAAGAACAACACATTCCCTGATATATCATCCACTCAATTCGACAATGCAAAATAGAAATATCATAAGCACGAGTAGCAAAAAAGAAGTTAAAACTGCAGCTCAAACTATCAAATGGAGGAACAAAATGTCCAAACTCGGCATCAAACTAGATCAGATTACAAAATAAAAAATTACATAAAAGAGTCCAAACAATTAAACATCAGCCATCAATACGTTTTAAGCAGTTTCTAAAATGTTCAAACTCTAGACCAAGAGTTAAAAACAACTTTCTTGGGTGAAAACAACTTGTAAACGATGCAGCTTTTGAACGAAATTAGCATGTGAATGAATCAGCTTGCACCAAGAAGCATCAACAGCCACCAAATCAGGTTGTGAGTGATTCAGGAAGTTCAACTTCCTCAAATGTGATTGATTCGGCCGCATCAAGTGATTCCTACAAAATAAAAGTATGAAAGTTATAAAATTCTTCCAAATCAGATATAAAGAAACTGTAACAACAACAAAAACATCCAATCAATTATTTTCGCGAGACTTATTCTTTAGGCCATGAAGACTGCGGATCCAATCGTTGCCGCAAAGCAACATTTGCACCATCTCAACTAACATAGAAGCTCGTCGATCATCGATCAATTACTCTACCTCCGGTGCTGAAGGTAGATTCTGAAGCCACAGTTGTAACAGGAATGGAGAGTATATCGGCAGCCATTCTCGACAAGATAGGAAATCTCAATCTTTCCCTTTTTCACCAACCCAAAACATCCAGATTTGCATTTGCATCACAAGTATACCTACTTTCCTCTAAATAAATATCTGAATTTGATTTCTCTGGTGGATCCCTGTCAATTTCACTCACATGCATATGAAACTTTTCTTTACCAGTTAAAACGGCGGGTCCAGTCATTTTCTGTTTCTTACTAGAAGAACTAGAACCTTCATTTTGTCTCCTTTTTACAACCTGCCTCTGTTGTTGTTCAGAATGGGAAACAATGTGACAATCAACATATTCATTGTAAAGCTCATAAAGAATGTCTCTAGTCTCAGCCGTGAATCTAGGAGCTGCATCCTTACCATAAATCACCGAAAAAACATGATTAATAAGAAACATTTTGTATCTCGGATCCAAAATTGCACCCAAAGATAGTAGCACATTACTTTCCCCCCAATACTTATCAAATTTAGCAGACATACTTCCAGCCATAGCCCAAATATGCTTAAAAGGGTCAAGAGCTTTTTCATTTAAAAGCTCTTTAATCCTATAGAGCTCCGTAAGAAAAATGTTAGCTGTTGGATACTCGGACTCGGAAATCATATCAGTGATTTCATGAAATATTTCTAGAAATTTGCATACTTCTTCCACTTTCATCCACTCAAAATCAGTAGGAATATAGTGAAATCCGGGGTTAATGTCTGCATATCTTGGAAAGATATCCTTGAACTCTAAACCCGAAACTAACATTAAATAGGTGCTATTCCACCTTGTTGGACAGTTCAAAATTAGCTTTCTAGAGGGTAACTGAAGCTGTTTTTTAATTTTGGCAAATTCAAGAAGTCTAGATTCAGAATTGTTCAAGTACTTTATCCTTCTCTAACAACATCAATCACACCACCAAATTGACCAAGACCATCTTGCACTAAGAGATTAAGTATATGTGCACAACATCTAACATGAAAATTTTTTTCTCCAATACTTAATCTCTTTCTTAGATAAAAAATTCTCTCTAAGTCTTCTAATGCACACATCATTGTATGAAGCATTATCAACAGTTATGCTAGAAACCTTATTCTCAATCCCCCAATCAATAAAGCACTTACTTAGAACATAAGCTATAATAACTCCAGTATAAGGAGGATGAGCATTGCAAAAATTCAACACACTTTTTTGTAGCACCCAATCAGAATCAACAAAATGATCAATCACAATCATATATTGAATTTTTTTACCAGATTTTCACAAATCTGTGATAATACTAATCTTACCAGCACCTTTCAACAATGATTTTAGCTTCCTTTTTTCAATTGTATAAGTACTAATGCAATCTTTCTTAACAATCTGTCGATTAATTTTTTTATAAAATGGAGAAACCGTTTTCATGAATTTGTTGAAAACTACATAATCCATCATAGAAAAGGGGTACTTATATGCAAGAATCATGTGTGATGCAAACTCTCTTACATTGGCATGATCATACGAGAAATTTGTGATGGAAGTGATACCATCACTTGGGGTTTCGGTGAATGACAACACTTGTTGCTTTTATTTGCTTTGCTTCCCAATTGTAGGCAAGAATTTAAGTGTCTCTTTTGCTGAGATGTGGCTCCGGTTGCACTTTTGGCAAAAAGTTCTTTGTAATGATTGCACTTCACTTTGACCGTATCATTATCTAGCACTACTGTTATCATTTCATCCCATATGCTGGATTTCTTCTTCCTTTGCTTTTTCTCAAAAGGACCAACTCCTTCATCTCCATCTACTTGTTGTTCTTCTTCATTGCCCTCATCTTCTATCGTTTCTATCTCATCTTCACTCATTTCATCAGCTCTTTCTTCATTGTAGTTCAATTGTTCCACGCCTTCCTTATTTTTTCTCCATCATAGGACTTGATAAGGAACCTTGAAATGAGTTGAATGGAGAGCTATACATTCCTTAATCAAAGCACATTGAATAACCAATACAGATTTTGATTAGCCAAAACAGAAATTTAGAATAACATTTCTAAGAAATAAGGTACAACAGTAATAAAACAGATTCCAAGAAATAATGCCCATTTCAAGTCAGTTTTAACATTTCTTTAACTTGTTCCTATCTCAGTTCTCAAGCTTACATTCAGATTAATGAAATAACAGAGAAAAGCTCTTAAAAACTCTTAAAATGGCAATCCAAACAAAAAGTTAGTTTTGCTGAAATGAAGAAACTAAAATGAAGAAAGTTTTGCCTTGCAGAATCTTCTAGGTTGAAAAATGCTTTCACTGTCAAGCTTAAACAAAAGTACAAAACAGGAAGAAATATCACATGCTAAAGAAAAGAAGATGACTAGCTGTGTTAAAGTTTTGTCCACTGTTTGCTATATGGCTAGCGCTGTTAAAGTTCTGTCACTTATGGTTGACTATTACATCTTTTCCAGGTACTACAAAGAGAGGCAACATTGGGTTGATACTTACTTTTCAGTGTTCATTAATCAATAAGAAGTTGCAGATCGTGAAAGCTGTCATTTCATTACTAGAAACAGACATTTTCATAGTCCAAGAAGTTTGCAGCTTGTTAAAGCTGTCAATTGATTTCTGAAAATTGACATTTTATGGTCCATGATGCATACCTACCTGCCCTTCCTAACAGTATAACTGTACTTATCAGAAGTATCATAACAGACAGTTTAGAGTGCCATTTTAAGACGATTGGTGGAAACTTTTGCAATTCGCAAGCGCTTTCAAGGAAATTTATGGACATCAATACAGGAAGCTACATTTAACCGAAAGAGTTAAATGTATGGGAATTGAATACTTTGGCTTTCTTTTAACAAAATATTTGGCATCATCAATAGTCAGTTCTATAACATGGATTCGAAAATGCAGAAATCAAAGAGCACAGAGACAAAAAGTGATCTTTCCTTCTTTATTTTCTTAGAGACACAAGTTTAATCGTAACAACTATTCCATGGTCTAAACGAAATGAAACATCGAACTCCAGCTTCAGGTGTCGAAGGAAGGTAACGCAGTAGTGATGCACGTAATCTCATAGAAGAATATGTGGGCATTTCAGGCGAAATTTGACACTTATGCAACAATCCAGAACAATGGGTAAAAAAATGGTTATTTAACGGGTAAAAGACATGCTATTTGAAACCAAAATCTACTAAGTGATGCATAAGCAATCCGTGCAAGTGAAATTTGGGATAAAACACAGAGATAAAATACAGGAAGCCAACGGGATACGAGGAAGCCATACAGGATACAAGACTATCCACCATTAACCAAAACCCACACAACTTATTAAAACCAATATAAATTGCAAAAATTGAGAAGAAATGGTTACCAGATTATGCAGCGAATTGGGATATGGTAGAGGCCCCTGACTCTATCGAGGTGGCTCCGTATGGCGCGGCTCACGGATTCACGACAAGGGGATTGGATGATGGCGGTGAGATGGTGGACGGATTGCTGATAGAGGTGAGATGAATGGATTGGTGAGTCGGTGACGGTGGTGAGAATGAAGGGTGCGGCTACGGCTGTGGAACGGGAAAAGGAAAGACCGAAAGAGAAAAGAAAAAATTAGTGCTGGCACCTGGTAGTGAGATAGTGGACGGATAGGTGATGGTCCTGATGGAAGTGAGATGATGAATGAATTGGTGAATGGTGAGTCGGTGACGGTAGTGAGAATGGAGGGTGCGGGCGTGCAGCTGCGGCTGCGGAAGGGGAAAAGGTAAGACCAAAAGAGGAAAGAAAAATTAGGGCTACAAACGGGAGAATGACTTAGGTTAGAGTGCCACATACATAATGAAATGACGCTAATACCCCTACTCTTCGAGCCTACCGAGCTTAAACGAGCCGAGCATAACTTGGCTCATGTATTAAACAAGTACTAAGTAGAGCTCGAGCTCGAATCGTTTCTCTCTGAAAACGAGCCGAGCTGAGCCCTTATCGAGCCGGATCGAGCTCGGCTCGCGAGCTACCCGATTCGATTAACAGGTCTATCAACCACCAGAGGTGGCTTGGTAACAGTTTCAGAATCTCCATAGCTACCAATCATTTTGACTTGGGAGGAAAGAAAAATAAGAAGAGAGAAAGAAGAAAGAAAAAGAAGGAAAAAGAAAAGATAAGAAAATAAAGACTTAGTAATACTACATCATTTTGGATAATTTGCTATAAAAAACTATACCATTCCACTAAAAGAGTAATAAATAAGTTTTAAAATCAGAAACAGAATTTGTAAATTGACCTTTGAATTTCTGAATAATTTTACTACGACTATGAGACTTTGACTCTTTTACATTTAGTGATGGAGTTCAAGTTGTTCAAGTCGATCGTCATGCTCAAGTTGATCCCGTTGTGGTACTGGTGAGTCCAATGATGTGAGATCGAGTCAAACACTTTAATGAGTCATTGCAATCCATGGTTCATGTTGTCTAAGAATCAATTGGAGTGCCAAACATGGTTTAAACCAAACATTCAAGTATAGTTAATTTACTTCAAACCGAGGTTGAAGAGGGGGCTTGATGGCCGAATGATCCAGCACTTATGGAGTTGTTAGTTTAGTCGTTAGTTTAGCATTAGTTAATCATTATTTTGGATTAGCTTAAGCTAATAAATGGACTAGCTTTTAGAGTTTGAATCCAACTTTAGTTAGGATTTTGGGCCGGATTAAAAGGTCCAACTAGTTGTGTTTTCGTTTGGACTAGTTTCATTAGGTTGTATCAAGAAACATTAAATGATGACATTTGTCTCTTTCATGAAAGATGTATGACATTTCATAGAAAATTTCTTAAGAGTTGCTCTCTTGGCTCTCGAGCTTTTTTTGAACACTTATAATCGTTTTCGTGTTCATTCGGCTTATTAATCAAGTTCATCATCCTTGATTGCGACGCCTACTATCGTTTTTGTTTTCATTTAGCCTAGTTTCATACTTTCACTAGGTTGTATCTGTACGCGATAAAAATTTCAAGTCTGCAAAACGACAAGAAAAAGAAATACACGACAAATATGTACTATATAAACTTAGAAAAATATGTAGGTACAATCTCTGGAAGTTTCTCGAACTTATGGAGAGCTTCCTTCGATTCTTCTCCTCGAACACCAATCCAAGGGCTTCGCAGCTTGTTCTTGGATTCACCACCGGTTCCTTCAAATCTTGATATGGAAGACTTGAAGGGCTTGAAAATATTTAGAGGCTCAAGCCTTGATATGCGGAAGAATTGGAGAACTTGAAGATCCAACCCTTCGTAGCTTGAAACTTCGATACTTGAGTGTATGGGATGCTTCTTGATATCTCTGTGTATCTGTGTCCCCTTAACTTGGTTGAGAGACCTCTATTTATAGTTGTAGCAAGAGGTGGAGGTTGAGATCATGTACACCACTCTACTTGCCTAGCAAGACGTACAGTCATATTAGGACTGTGCCAGTTAAATATTATCTCTCCATTAAAGAGATAAGTAATTTCTCGATTGGCCAGACTTGTGGGGACACGTGACGTGGCGCCATTTTACTGGCCAGGCCATTGCAGTATATAAGAGATATGCTTGGATTAAACAATTCTAAATATTATCCCTTTAATAAGAAATAAATATTTAGATATTTATCCAGTAAACATGTGATATGATGTGATTTGGTTGGTGGAGATACCCCTGCAATTTGAATTGATTTGGAACACCTCACCTTGACACGTGGCAACATATAATTGGTCATTTAATAACCAATTTTTCCAAGTGTACATGCCATATGGCAATATCCGATTGGACAAAAATATTTATAGACCAATGATAATTTAATTAAAATTCCATTGTCTACAAATGCCCCCTCGAAACTTGTTCGTGAATGTTGAAGACCGAAGCAAATTTTGAACGGACAAGTTTTGACATTTTTTGTTTCAACTTGAACACCGTTGATATTTTAGCTTTTCAAATAAAACTCATAAATGGGCTAAATTCCAAGCTTTGCAAACTTCATATCAATTACTTGTATCATATAGGATAGCTACGTGGAAGACCACCAATTCATGCCTTATTCATCTCAATTTCCAAGACCACTAGTGCCTCCAATTTTTCGAGGCCGGATCACTTCATTTGGCATGCTAATTCAAGTGATGTTTACAAACGTAATTTACTTGGAGCTTTGCAATGTTTGTGGCTTTGGATTGAATTCACTTCATTAATGTTGTCAAGTCCTAGGAGCAGGACAATCATTAGTCTCCAATTCAAACTCATATACGTATGAAGCTACTAGCCATGGGTCTTATAACATAAAATGATGATTGCATGCACTTAGTGCTTTCAATTCCCGAGGCCGAATTGTATCCACCATTGGCATATTAAATAAAGGGACTTTACTTGAAGCTTTGCAATGTCGTAGCTTTCCAATTGATCAGAAGATGGTTATGTAGGATGCCACCAATTCATGCAACATTAGTTATATCAATTTCAGGATCATGCCAAGGCTTTGTCGGACCATCAATTTCAGGAGCAGCCTGTTCAATGTCATAGCTTTACTCAAAGCTTGGCAATTCAAATATCAATTCCTGAGCTCTGCCCAGAGCTTTGCAGTGCCGCGGCTATTGAACCAATAAAGACATGGTGTTATCAAATGCCTCCTAGACCGATATAGACCAATGATAATTTAGAGAAGGCTGCTTTTATCAATACGAGATAGTCATGCAAAACATTTTAAACTGCATGCATCTTCTAGCGGTATCCACTTCCAAGACCGACTCGTCTTACTTGTAAGTTCTATGTCCATAGCTTTCCTTTCGCCAGCCTGCCACATGCACAAGAAATCTTGTCCTTTTGTGAATTCAATCGCTTAGGAAGTTGGGAAATATTTTG